GGGGGGGGGGGGGGGGGGGAGGGTAGTGAAATCAGGTACTTGGAACAAAGCCTAGACAAGAATTTGACCAACATTGAAAGTGACAAGACAGTTATCTTATTAGAGAAAGTCAGTGTCATTCTCTTTGATTTATCACCAATTTTCACCAGAAAAAGATGTTTATAGTAAAATAAAGCATGTTAGATTTACCATGGCCAGTTAGAATATGGCTGCATTGGTTGAGATCTCATGTTATAAGAGCTACAAAACATTAGTTGAACTCATGTTAAATTATGGCAAACAAGTTGCAGCAAGTTAAAGATCTTGTAAATGTTCTTTGCAGGATTATCGCCAGCTAAAAATTTCGAGCACAAAGGACTTGAAAGGGAAAAGGAACAAAAATTCCATATTTTCGCGAAAGGACTGCTCGAATTGTTACCCATTAGAGCATTTAAACATGACTCGATCGATCCAACAACAACTGGATTTCCTACAACTCCTGTAGTAAATCCTGTCACCACTCCAGTTAATATGCCTCCTGATAATTCAGCTCCAACAGTTGTTACTGTCCCATCCACAAATCCTAATGCTGGAATTCCAAATCTTGGGTCTACACCTCCAGCAGTTCCTTCTACTACCCCGCCGACTGACACGAACCCCAATCCATCGGTACCAATAACTAATCCAGTTACCACTCCTAGCACAAATGCACCTGTAAGTAATCCTGTAACGGCGAATCTAACCCCAGTAGGTGGTGTTCCAGTCACCACCCCGGTAACGCCACCTGCAACCACAAGCTCTCCTGCTACCTCAGGGCAGAGCTGGTGTGTCGCGAAGAATGGAGCGATGGAAACTTCACTTCAGTCAGCGCTTGATTATGCTTGTGGAAAGGGAGCAGATTGCTCAGCCATTCAGCAGGGTGGAAGTTGTTATAATCCCAATAGTCTGCAAAACCATGCATCATATGCTTTCAATAGCTATTTTCAAAAGAATCCAGGGCAAACAAGCTGTGATTTTGGGGGTGCTGCCATGATAACCAACTCAAACCCAAGTAAGCAAACAAGGATTCTTTATTATATATCCTGCCTTACTGTTATAAATCAGCATCTTCTTATTTTTTCTGATCATTAACATACTGAAATATAGGCACTGGTTCTTGTGTTTTTCCTACATCGGGGTCTTCTACATCATCGTCTGCGACACCAACGCCTGGAACTCCAGCGCCGACAACAGCCTCGTCAACAGGTGGTGCAGTACCAGGGTAAGGGGAACTTTCATTTGCTCCATAAGTCTACAGAATACTCTCTTCGTTGTAGTTTATATCGTGGTTTTGACTAGGAATGGAGTTTAAGAAAGGTTAAAAGACTTGGCACATACAAAAGTACTTGTAGAACTTGTGTGCTTAAACATCCCATGACATTTATATGGGTATAAGAGCATGTAAAATGAGAAGTTTAAAATTAAACGATTTTCAAATAAAAAAAAGTATCATTCTTGCGGGAACAAACTAAAATGGAAAGTGTCATATAACATGGAATAGAGGGAGTAATCTATATGCTTTTCATTAACTTTGTCCGGTGTAATTTTGCAGCTCTGTAGCACCAACAGTACCGAATGGAGGCGACTCTGGATTTGGAACGATGCCGGGCATTAGTGACAGTATCCCTCCCACTGCAACCACCTCATTGTCCATGTCAAATGGCATGCAACCCTTAGTTGGCTGCATCTTTCTTGTCACCTCCATTGTGACTAGCAAGCTTATCTTGGAGATTTGAGGAAATTAAGAAGTTCAGTTACCAAGTAAGAAGCTGGATTTTCAGTTTCTAGCTATGTACAGTTCTTGAGGAGTAAATGGAAGCAGTTAGGAGTACTATCAAGGTTTAGACATTACATACCTATACACTGCTTTAGTATAGTTAATTATCCTGCATACCACCTACTTAGATGTAAAATTCATATATTGGTTTTAGAGGCCATTATCTACATCCATCAATATATAAGTTTAATAGGTCAGATGTTCCACTGTTATATTGTATTATTGTTTAGGAAGTAGGTTACTAGTCCTGGATCTCATATGATCAATCATTGTATTAGTTTACTACTTTTTATATATGAATAGAGAGAATTTGCGAGGTAAATACGTTGCAGAGACAGGTCTATATATGTTTAGAATTAAATAAAATGGAAAATGTAGCCTAGTAAAACTAACACTATGTTTGGATCATTGTTACCCATTGATTTATAATGTATTGTATTGTACTTATATGGTATTGTATTGTTTTTATGTATACAACGTTTGAATAGATTGCATTGTTTGACTATATCGTACTGTACTGTAGCTGATAAGTTCACTAAATACCGCCAAAAGTCTTAAATAAAATTTATCAAAAATTATACATAAAAATAATTTAAGAATACCTCGTTCTACTAATTTATCATTAATTAGTAGCTTGGAAACAAGAGCAAAAACCTGGAAAAAAAAAGGTTAACTAATATTAGCAATAAAAAAAATTAAAATGATGGAAAGAGACAAAGAATCGGATAGAGATTTGGATAAAAAGAATGGGGCAAAAAAATAATGATAAAATAAAATTATGAGTAATAAGTAAGAGCATAATTGGAAAAGAAAATAGAAAACGATTCCACCATATCAAATCGGTTGTTTCATAAAATGGGACTTTTGATTGTTCCGGGACAATACGATACAATTAATTTTTAAAAAAACAATCAAAATAAATATTATTTTGGGATAACAATACAATACGATATATTAGGGAACAAAAGTTAATTATATGTTTGCTCTTTTGTTTAAATAACAGTGATGTCTTTGCAGTTTGCGTGCACCTCGCCATTATTTGGTATATGGAAACTATGCCCTGAAAGCTTAGGCATTATTCGCTGCTTTCATTCATTCTTATACCTTCATTCATGGGTACAGCCTAACAGGGACAAAAGTGTAAAGCAGTATGCAGGATTTCTAAAAGAACAGCAAGCTGGCGATGCCCTAATAGTTAAGAGGGAGAATAAACTAATAGCCGATTTTCTCTTTCGGTGCGGTGTATTGATGGCCACTTTAAGTTGATTAATCAATAACCGCATGCACTAACGCAAATTACGTGCTACATTATCGCCGTGTAAACCTCCAAGATTAAAGAGGATTTTTAAATCTCAATTTATTATATTGATAGTGTACAAAGTTTTCTACATCAGCTTATAAATTTTAACTTTGAATTAACTAATTCCACTTGTTATGGATAATTTACCGATAATCATCTTTCAAGTGATTATATAAAAACTAAACTCATTAAAGAGTAGAATATGTTTTGTCTTCTACTATTAGGTACTTGTAGTATAATTTAATAAATTAAAGTCACCAAGAAAGCATCTTCCAACATTACAATTCATTGGAGGCTGATTCAATTTTTTGACTAATTCTCGAAATAAACATAAGAGACTAGGACTTCTCACCAGAAAAATACCAAGTACAGACATTAATAGGAGACAAGAAAATAATGTGACGGGTCTCTGCTGATTGGGGCTAGCTAAAATAATTAGTGTCGTGATATTTGGCATGCAATTATGCACTCTGAGAATATGATTATAGTATAATCTAAAGTACTGCGTTGATCTAATAATTGAGGATCAAAATGATGGGTTCAGCTGTGAGAGCGTGAGGTACAAATCTACAGCACTCCCTAATCTCTCCCCATGTTGACTACAAGCTAGCTACATATCTCCTTTATACAACGTTAAATACATATATTATTATCACCGCTTCGAAAAGAGGACTAATACCAACATAGACATTGACACAACAATCTTGAACCCTGAGGATTCCCAGAAGTTCTGTTTATCATTGCTGGAAGTTCCGACTTGCTTAGTTGCTAATTGGTCTCTGAGTTCCTTAATAGCTTTGTCACGGCGTTCTCCCATCTGTATTTATATCACATGTATGACGCTTTCAGTAGTTTTCAATGTGCTAAGATCTTATAAATTGGTGGGAAACTTAACAAATTAAATTCAGAATTCTAGAACTAAACAAATAGGTTTCCGATATCAGATATAATTTCATCAATGTAGCAGTAAAGAGTAGAATTACCCTTTGGAGTTTGCGAGTTTGAGTCCGCGCCTCTTGGAGACAGAATTCCAACTTCATAATCCTCTTTTTCAACTCTTGATCAGCTCTACGATGCTTTTCTAACTGTCCAGAAAAGAGGTAGAGATTCATGAGAAAGAATAACTCAGTGTCGTGGAATTTAGAGAACCTGGAAAACATGTATCAAACCTGAGACTCTAACTCCTTGGTTTTTAGCTTCCAATGGGCAGACATGATCCTGATTTCATCCCTGAGTTTGGCAATTTCTTCATCTTTACTCGTCAACAGCTTGTTCATCTTCTCAATATTCTTTGGTGAGACCTCATCTAAAATCTTCCTCAATTCACAATCTTTGTTTGCTCCAGATTTCGCTAATGCTTGCATGATATCATGCTCAATTCTCAGGACTTCATCTTTCAATTGCATTTGGGATGATTCCCTTGCTTGGAGATCCTTCTGCAAAAGATCTAATTGCTCACCAAGTTTATTTACACGAACTTCATGTTCCTTCAATGAACTGTTTTTCTCATCCAACTCTTTCAAAAGTGCCAAACACTGAAGCTGTGCAGATTGAGCTGATGCAGCACTTGCATCTGCAGTTGCTTGAGTAGCAGAAAGCTGTGATCTAAGATCATCCAACTGCTTGAGATACTGGATCGCATTCAGAACTTATATTATTAACTGCTTACAAATACAACAACAACAAAAACATACCCAGTATAATCCCACCCCACATAGTGGGAAACTGCTTACAAATATGTCCAAGGAAAAAGACTACTGCATTATGTTATTCTTAAGTGGTTTTATTACTGTTACAAGTGTCAATAATACATAAACCTAACTGAATGAGCACAACGTAGTCATGTTTAAATGCCAAAATAACTGGCTCATGATAATCAGTGCATATTTGAGTTTTGAGGTTTAAAAGGTTCTATCTACCAGTGTCTTTCCTGACAGGATCTTCCTCAAACTGTAACAAAATATAAACTAAAAATAGAATTGGGTAGCAAATATTGGAGGAAGCTAGATCGTGAGAACTGGGTAAACAGTATCAGCTTGAACTCAAGCTAAGCAGAAACAAGAGAATTTATGCTCTAGAAAATTGAAATGAAGAAAAAAAAACAAGCTAGCCTCCAATAACTACAACTTCAACCACCCCAAATAAAAGATAATAGAAATTATGAAAGAAGAGTAAGAAGCCAAACCCAATCAGGCCAAAAAGCAAACAGACCATTTAATGATTCCATTCAACTGCTTCAATTGATAATTTATGCATATTATTCCATCTGTGCAGTAATTACTTTCTTTGCATTGAGGACAAAAGAACTGCATCTCTCTACATTTCAGAAATAACCCACTCTTATTGTAACAATAATGGAAAAGTCAAAAGCAAGTGAACAAATTAGCTAGTATCTTAAATTAACCGGATGAGAACATATTCATTACAGAAGATTCTACTTATGCAATCCACAGAATTTGATTTTTCATTCAATCTTAAATGTACCAAAATAGTAAGTGAAGGGTTTAATAGGAATTTCATCAATTAAGGATACTATATATAACTCTTTACATTTGAAGTATGACACTTGAAAAGTCAAAACTTTTAGGAGTTTAAAGAAATATTATTATGTGTTAGTCATGCTAATTTCCTTTAATTTTAGTTTAATACACTTAATGGGGATGTATCATCATATGTTTACCTTTATCACACATCATCTTTTTTTTCAATTCAAATCATTTCATCAGTAACACACCAATATGGTGTGAAAAGTTTGAACCAACCACAAATATCTATCAGGTTGACGTAGTCATACATACATTTTAACTTTATATCACACATAATTGAGAATGCTACATAAAGTTGTGCACATAAGTTACCCCTAAATACATCAGGTAAAAAAGCTGTGGGGGAGAAAAAGAAATGAACTCAATATACTAAAAGTGCTATTTAAGATTCTCATTTGAGCACTCTTTATTTGATTCAGCCAGTACAATAACTATGTTAAATTCAACTAATCGCTTTTCTAACATCTGAGGATTCAAGTTTCTCAATTACCAGCTTATTCAGAGTTCAAGCAATGATATATGCCTCAACATCTAAAGGAATCAAGATACATAATACCAAGAGAACTCGACTCTCATAATAAATATCATTTCCAAGAAGCTGGTAACACAAAAGGCGAGCATGGGTTAGAGCTTCCTTTGTTAGCTTAATGATTTAAAAAAATTCTCAATCATATGGCATCATGTTAATCCTCAAAATTATATGCAGTAATGATGACCAGAGATTGGGAGCCCAAGTGGACTCAACGAACCAAAAGATGTCCATTTAATTTTCAATGCCGAACAAAGGGGAAGAAAGTGATGTTTACAACCCAGTGCTGGCCATCTAAAAGCCACTAACATGTGTAGCCAAAAAGTGGTTTGATTTGTTAAATGGTAAGTCGTCCAAGATTCCTCTTTATCTCACTAACTCAGCTAAAAGAAACAAATTTTTTGAACCATCCAAGACCAGACAAAGTACTTGGACCACTCGGTTCATAAAGAACTACTAGAGACAATAATATTAGATTAATTACTCAATACTATTCCTCAATTTCCCAAAAGGACAAACAAAAACAACCAAAAAGTAGCTTCAAAAGATATCCATCATCATATTCCTTTCAAGTATCTGTTTTTTCAGTATTTCCAAATTAACCCAGGTGCCTCCCACGCAAGATCTTGGAGCCCAACTCCACCCAGATCCAAAACCACTAAATTTATCTAAAATTCAAAACCATCAAACCAAATATGCAAGAAATAGTTGCACTAAAAGATGCATAATTTTTCAAGTCGAGTGACACTCATGATTATTACCTTCTCGGTGTTTAAAGAAGAAATTTGAAGCTGCCCGTCTTTCTGCTCCAAATTCTTTTGCAATTTACTTATCTCTTCTTCCATTTTTTTAGCTTTACTCTCTGCTACCTGATAAAACAAAAAACACACAATAATCAGACAAAGTCCAAGAATCGCCTGACCCACACTTAAAACTCCACTTCACATATAAAGGAAAAAAGACAAAAAAAAAAAAGTAAAAAAATCATTTCACACAACAATAAATCATACTAAATCAATTTGACCTGTCTTGTTAGGGTTTCACGAACAAAAGACTGTTCTTGAGAAGCGAGACGGTTGCGAACCTCCTTGAGCTCCGCCGCAAGCGACACCACATTTCGCCGGAAATTCTGTTTCTTCTCACTCAGATCCTTCAACAACGGATCCACCACCATACACGACGACGTCGTTGACGACGTTGAAGATGAAGATGACGGCCTTTCTTCCACGGACATCACCGTAACACTACTGAGAATCAACTACAAATCCAGAGTGAACTTTGCTTTCAACTACGACATCCGATGCTTCGCCTGTGAAGTGTATAAAACCACCCAAAAAAAAAAGGAAAAAAGATAAATTGAGTTGCTTCTTTCTATGAACTTAGCAATTAAAGCTAACAACCTATCACCCTTTGCATGTGAACATGTAGGGTATGCATTTAAGTCGCTGACCCATTTTAGAATTTTCAATTAATTGATATTCCAATAACAATAATGGAAACAGAATACTGATAATTATACATGTAAGATTATCACGTTTTAAAATTTCAAAAAATCATTTTTTATGGTTTATAATATTTCATGAATCAACCTCAAAATGGAGATAGAGAGAGAGAAAAGGACAGATCATTGTTTTGAGAGAGAGAGAGAGAGAGAGAGGAGCAAGTGGACAGTCAAATGGAGGGTTCAATTTGCTTAAATCCACACGACTCTTACACTTCTCTACAGAAAAATCAAGAGACACGTTTCTTACACATCTCAAAAAGAATCCTTCTTTACACACACATGCATGAACACACCTGAGTTTACAGAGAGGAAAAGGAGTAGCAAAAAAGAAGAAAGGATAAACTCATACTCTAATTAAAAATCACTACAAACACGTTCAAATCTAGTTACAGAGAATTAAAAAGACAAAAAACTAATGAAGCTAATAACGAAAAAAACAAATAAGAAATATATATATAGGTAAAAACACTTCAATTTACCGGCGAGCGATTGATCTGGGGTCAAATGATCGGACGGTGGAGGAAGAATGGGAGGTAGACAGATTCGCCAAAGCGTGGGGTGATTTTGAGGGGGTGGGTGGGGAAGAGTTTAATGCAGCAGTGAATAAGGGAAGCTGAGACTTAGCTACATGTCTAAGCAGAGAAGAGAGAGAGGAAGGGGGATGTGGAGGTTCGGATTTTGAACTTTAGGTTCGGAGATTCCGAGCCTTTTGTTTGTCGACTTGACAGACAGATAGGATTTTGGTTTGGAAACTGGTGTAGGTTGGGGTTCTCCGAGCCTTGGGTTTCGGACAAAGGACAAATTTCGAACCTGGGGCATAAAATGACCTCAGCGCGGCAAATCTGAAAATTTTCGTCAATGGATGAGATCTTTCCACGTGTGCTACGTACGACCGTCATGTTCCGATTTTGATTAAAAAAGGAAAAGAATTGACTAATTTCACATGCAATTGGAAACTATAAACCCCTCAAATCTGAATGATTTGTATACTAGTATTAGTTTACACGCTGTCAGAGATTTGTTTGACTATGCCTAATTAGGTTGAGACAAGAATTTTTATATTTACGTAAAATAAGGAAAAAGGAAAGAAGAGAAATTTGAATGATTCATTAATTCAATTAACCTAATTAGTTTAACTTACATGTGAGTGGCATTGAAATATCTATTCCAGAAACTAAGGACACCATATCCCTAATCAATCTAATTCGGCCAATTTTTTTCCTTCAATACGTCTTAGTGTCTTACACATACAAATTTGTAAGCAAATATTATATATTTTATATATATTAAAGGATAATTCAAATAAAAGTGAAATCATTAAGATACAAGAATTCAATACGTATTACATATAATGGTAAAATTCGTATTAAATATTACATAAATATTCAACTTCCACCCTTAGTATGCTCCCATAAATTATCTATTAATGTATTACGAAGTACAAAATGAGCAACTTTCACTCAATGCTATAATGATTTTGGTGTATTTGAAAATGATATACCTCCCTGCTAAGTTATTGTGTTATTTACCGTAGTTTTAATTTTTATTTTAATTTAATATATTTTCAATTTTCATGTATTTTCAATTTTAATGTATTTTCAATTTTCACTTCTCAATTTTAGCAGCATATAATATTTTATATTCGCACCTTTTAATTTTAGCAACATCTAATATTTTATATTTGCGCCATTCATTTTTTGAGATGATTATATATTCTTTGTACAATTATAACTTATAATAAAATTAACTTACAATTTTACATAAAAATAATAAATGCATGAAAATTAATTTATCTAAATTACACGCCAAAGTTAAGATGTAAAATTAATATTATAAAGATATTACGTAAACATAATTAGGTATATATAAAGAGATAAATTAAAAGAGTTAAATAATAATAAAATATGCATGAATAGTAATAGGGAAGATGAATAGTGTCTCCCATATTTGGAAGAACACTATCCATCCCCCATTTTGGAGGCAAAAATGGAAGAGGGTTGGAGTTTCATTATAGCAAAAGTTGCCCCCATATAGAAAAATGGGGGAGGGTTGGAGATGGTCTAATTCCGTAAATGGCAAAACAATCACAAACAAATTCTTTCATTTCTAAGAGTGTCTTTGGTACGAATGAAAATATTTCTCATGGAAAATATTTTCTCAGAAAATATTTTCTTAAAAAATGGGTAATTTTGTCACTTTTTTTTTTCTTATTTGGTTGATGAGTGAAACTTTTTTAGGAAAATAAAGTGTTTGGTTAGATAGTATAAAATATTTTTAGGGAAATAATTTTTTATGCTCCTCTCCTCAACCCGAGTCCGAAACTTAAATAATGGTATTTTGGACTCAAAATACCATTATACAGTTTTAAAAAAGTTACATTTATAACTAAAACACAGTATTATACTGTGTTTTACTTCAATTTGGGCCCACCAATATTCCATATTCTTAGGATAACTGACAATATTCGTATTATACTGCATTTTACATTAAATTTTTGGGCCCACCAATAAGTGTTACGTGGATAACTGACATAACAATAATTCAAATACATAAAGTGTGGTATTATACTGCGTTTTACATAAAAAAAAATCTGCACCCCAAGTTAGGACTTGCTTTATTTAAAGGCGTTAGGATTTTATGAAAATCCATTCAAAACTTTCCTTCAAACTTTCATTCATACTTCTCTTCTTGTTATCAAGCATTTTTTTTATAATATTTGAAGAGCCAAAAATAAGGGTTTCATTATATTGGAGGGTGAGGTTGTAATGGAGAATAACTGTGTGAGGTATAGTTCACCTCCACAGTGTCATGTTAAATTGCCGCTTACAATGGAATACGATAAATTGGTATCGTTGTTATGTAAAAAAATGAGTGTGAGGAAACGTTCGGTGAACCTTAAAGTAACCGGTAGATTTCCGTATTTTGTGACTCCACGGGAGTTTGCTTATTATTCTGAGTTTAACATCGAAGATGATGAGACTCTTAGAGATTTTTTGCGGATTCCGGATGAATACAGGGAATTTATTGTAATAAAATTGTTGGAAATGTACGTCAAGGTTGAAGACGTTCCCAATAATGAGGGCATGCATAGTAGGGATAACCCCCAGTCATCGGGTGGTTATTCTGGAGCAGTTTTTGCCGGACAGATTCCTGATAAAAGAGCTTGCCTTGATTTAAACTTGTCACCACCGGCGAATGAGCAACCACAAAATAATTTTTCGACTTTATATACTCCACAAGACAACTGGTAAACTTCAATTTTTCTACGCTTTAGCGATGTTTATTTTAAGTCTTTTGAATTGGATTTGTATTAACACATATATTTGTCATATGGGGTACCGTCCGGATATGAATTTTACAAGTTATGACCCCATTCCTAATTGGAATATGCGTAGCTCTGGCGTGTTGGACCACGGTGGTCCATCTGGGAGTCATCACCAACAAGAAAATGTCCATCATGGAACGTCAACACAGTACGACTTGTAAGTAAAGTGATATAGCTATATGTAAATTATTTATCTAGTTGAGTAGCTTATCATTTTGTTCTTTTTGTGCAGTGAAAGCGAGTAACTTGATGTTCCTAACCTCACATAGTTGCCCATAGACGACGTGTTGACTCATGATTTTGGCAGATGCACAGAGTCAGGAAGATGATAGTGATTATGACAACAATGCCGATGAGTTTGGAGATGACACACCCTTCCCTGATGAGGATGATGACGAGGAGGAAGTGGATGTCGAACCTGAGCTGACGAGGGAGCATGCTCTTCCACCTCCCGTTAGACCAAGAGTGTACGAGTCCCACGTGTCGTTTCATGAGCGGAATATTCTCTACCTTGATAAATTACCAAGTATGTCGGACGTGGATGCCCTCACAAGAGATGATGACGAAATTTAGTCAGCAATGTGGGATGAGTCTAGACCAGCGGTGCTGACAAATGGCATGTATTTTCTCGATAAAGCTAGCCTTATCAGGGCTGTAAAAATCTACAGCGTAAGAGAGTGTCGTGAGATGACGGTAAGGGAGTCAACTACGGAGGTGTACAAGGTTTTATGCCGTAGAGACTTTATGGGTTGCCACTGGATGTTGCGTGCTAGCAAGAAGAAATCATGGTTGTGGAAAGTGGGTAAATATATTAGCACTCACATATGTGAAATGAACACATTCAATGAGAATCACTTCAACCTGGATGTAGACTTGATTTCTCTTGTCTTGATTCCATATTTGGAAGTGTCAATTAGGTTCAAGATTAAAGAGTGTATTACAGCCGTCCACCAGGAGTATGGTTGTACTATAACCAAAAGAAAGGCATATCTCGGGCGCAAACGTGCCTTTGAACTTATTTATAGTGTCTGGGATAAGTCTTTTTCATCTCTGTCCAGGTACATGACTGTACTGCAACACTTTAACCCCGAGACTATTGTTGAATGGAGGAGTGAGCGGAGTCCGGACAGACCGGAATATATTTTCAACTATGTGTTCTGGTCATTACCAGCAATTGATGGTTTTGTGCATTGCCGTCCTGTAATTTTCATAGACGGTACTCATGTCTATGAAAAGTAATATATTAACCTTTTGATTGTAGTTGTAGTAGATGCCAACGGACAAATATTTCCACTAGCTTTTTCCATTTCTGCCAATGAAAGCGAAGAGACGTGGATGCTTTTTTTGAACCACTTGAAGCAGCACGTTGTCAAATAGCATTCAAGTATTTGTCTAATATCTGATCGACACGGTGGCATTTTAAGTACTGTACGGCATTTACCTGAATGGCAGGAACCCTATGCATACCACCATTACTGTGTGAGGCACCTGAAGGCCAATTTCCAGAAGAAATATCACGACAAAGCCTTGTATGATTTAATGTGGATGGTTGTAACTGAGCACCAGCAGTGCAAATTCACGAGGCGCATGAAAGCGATCCGGCAATTAGATCCACGAGCCTATACTTGGTTGATGGGACATGAGCTTTACATGTGGACATTACATATTGATGGCGGCAGACGATGGGGATCCCTGGCTACAAATGTGTCGGAGTCATTCAACGGCTTGTTGAAGTCTGCCCGTGGATTGCATGTCACTGCCATGGTCCGGATGACATTCAACTAGATTGCGGAGAGGTTTGTTGAAAGGCATAGAGTTGCATCGGTATTGATGGACAGGGGTGTTCAATATTGATAAGAAAATTTGAGAAGTACAGGAGGCGAGCACATTGGCATTCATTTTTACAGTATGATCACGACCGGGGTATTTTTGAAGTTAAGACCGCTATCCGCGGACACTGGGGGAATAATCTACAGACGATGAATGAAGCCAGCAAGTTGTGTTCATGTAGGAAATGGACCATCTACTACATGTCGTGCGCATATGCCTTGAAGTGCTTTCAACAAGTTGGTTTAGGGGCAACCAACTATATTGATAAGCAATACAGTGTCGCTGCATACGTAGACATGTATAGTGGGTTGTTGCAGCTATTGGGTGTGGAGCATTATTGGCCGTCGGAACCTTTTAAAATGGTGTGTAATAAGGACTATTTCTGCAAGCTTCAAGTGCAAAAGAGAACGCGTATAACAGAACCAAATGGATGTTGGTGACACCATTTATGCGAGTAAATGTGGCATATGCTCGCAAGCAGGACACGACCGCCGTAAATGTCCTTCAGGTGGTGTGTGTGGCGGTGGTAATCCAGCTCCTGATGCAAGTTCGTCGAATGTACCCATCTATCAAGGATATACCTAGTCTTTTGTTTTCGTATTATTTTTTGTAATACGTGTTTGTACTTGTGTATGTTGCAATATCTATCAAATAAAATTATGTTCCATAATCTTGTTACATCTTATTTTTTAACATGATCTTTTGAATTGGGAGGCTGATATGGTAGTTCAAATATTCAACTTATTGGTGTTAGTAAAGAAACCAATCTTAAAATTAAAAAAAAAACTATAAAATCAAGATATCCTTTATTATCCTTCTTAAAATCTAATATGTAAAGCGTGGTATAACACTATATTTTGTGTGTTGTCTTGTCGGTCTGAAAAAAGCTGAACTGACTGTGCAAAAGCTGTTTTGTTTCGAAAAAATTTAATATGTAAAGCATGGTATAATACTACGTTTTGTGTGTTGTCTTGTCGGTCTGAAAAAAGCTGAATCGACTGTGCAAAAGCTGTTTCGTTTTGGAAAAAATTAATATGTAAAGCGTGGTATAATACTATGTTTTGTATGTTGTCTTGTCGGTCTGAAAAAAGTTGAATCGACTGTGCAAAAGCTGTTTTGTTTCGGAAAAATTTAATATGTAAAGCGTGGTATAATACTATGTTTTGTGTGAAGTCTTGCATATAAATAACTGGCGCATTCTAGTTATTTTTTGCGCTTAACAATAACCAATAGCAAATATTTTCATAAAATCAAGGTTTCTTTTTACGCTTTATCAAATGTCTCAACAACCCCTTTATGTCCCAAGGTGCGAGTGCGTCAAAAAATGCATGATGCACGATTGTTGGGAAGAAGTTGGACGCCGCTACTTGGCGTGTATGAACAAGTTTTATAGGCAACCCGACAAACCTACTTGCAATTTTGATTTATGGATTGATGAACTATGTGAGCAGGAATACTATAAAGACAAGTTGTATCATCTTCATAGTTTGTATTTGAAGCAGTGAGAAAGAGAGCGACAATCCAAACAAGAAGTTGCGGAGTTGAAGGCGAAACTCAAGGAGGTGAAAGAAGAAAAAAAAGCTGGAAGACCAACTCAAGTGGTTGGAGCAGAGAATACTCGGCGGTGGTGACGAAACAATGGCATGTACTTGTTGAGCGTAGTAGTGTATCTTTATGTTTCCCTTGTCATGTGTTATCATTAGTTGTACTGAATTTATGTTTTGTTAGGTTTGCTATGTTTGTGTTTGTGTTGAACTGTTAAACTAAAATTGTTGTTCAAATTATGTTAAAATAAAATTGTTGTTAAAATACAATTCTTGCCATTATTTACATAATGTAGTATTTACACAAAATACAAACAAAAATAAATCAATGAGTCCCGCAGCCTGTGTGCTTCAGTGCAGCCGCTGGCCTGAGTCGCATCCCCTGTCGCCCGGGTACACTATCAGGATCATCATCATCAAGTCGCCTCTTTATGTGAGGATAGGGGTGGGCATTCGGTCGGTTCGGTTCGGTTATTCGGTTTTCGGTTTTGTAAATATGATAACCGAAACCGAACTGAAATAATTTCAGTTCAGTTCGGTTTTTTAAATTTCAGTTCGGTTAATTTTGGGTCGGTTTTCGGTTTGAACATTATCATATTGGCTGGGCTTATTCTGCTTAATAATTGGACTAATTTGTTGGTTGTTTCCAAAATTTTGAACTTTTTGAATGTGTTAAGTCATAAATATGTTCTTTTCAGTGTAAGCCTGGATTTTTTAATGTGCTGCTAATTACACGGTTTACACCTCTACTTGGTCCATACAAGATCCCACAATCATACAAACAAATATAAACTAGGGAGTAGGGAGTAGTTAGTAGTTACAACCAAAAGAGCACTACATTACAGAACCAAAAAACCAAAATAGCTATGCTGCTTTGCTGCCACTGGTTACAAGTTACAGCCATGGCCCATGAGAGAACAAAAAACTTAGAATCTATGTTACTTTGCTGCCATTGTTTAGTACAAGCATATTACATAACCAAAAGAGTAATCCAAAAGTTAGAATGTTTTCATGCTGCTGAACAGCTGAAGTCTCAAAACCAGATAAATAATTACATTAAGTAGCATGAAACAAGTGAAGTCTATTTACTATAGCATCACTTCCATCTAGGCGCCATGATCAAACCTTTGCAACAAAAGACATAATTATAGGTCAAAAACACAATTGATTTATAATAAAGTATATCAATGTTATATCTTCAAATATACAGAAGGCTATCAACTTACCAGTTACCACACATGGTACATGTTGCAACTATATGTCAATAATAGTTGAATCTTTTGCACTATCAGCCAGATCTAAGGAAAATATAGAAGAAAACTTTGTCATGCATCATCAGTGTTAAGTAAACTATTTGTAATATAATAAAGGAAAGACACAAAATAATTACCAAGTTCTAGTTGTTCTAGATACTCCAAGTCTTCCTCAACTTTAATAGGAATAGGTTCACTTCTAAGCCAATCTTGAAGACAAATAAGAGATTGCACCAGTTTAGGCGTCAACGAACTCCTGAACGAGTCAAGAATGCGACCTCCCGTGCTGAATGCACATTCAGATGCAACACTT